CGCGAGGTGTAATACACTGGTTGCTCGGTTTTGCCATCTCTTCGAGATATTAGCACTGCACTCACGGCCCTGGTTGACACAGCGAGATACAAGAAAAGTTTTTCATTAAGCTTGGGGGCCGTCAGTACAGGGGGGGATACAAGATACGCCTTTAGTTCTTGGAATGCTGCTTCGCACTCTGTCGACCATGTGAAGCGGGTCCCGTTCTTGAGTGTCTGAAAGAAGGGCGCACATTTGTCGGCGGACCTTGGTATGAATCTCCCCAGTGCCGCTATCTTGCCATTCAGAGATTGGATTTCTAACGCGTTCCGAGGCGCCCGTAGTTGTTGGACCGCGGTGATTTGCTTCGGGTCGACCTCTATGCCGCGCTTGGTTATCATGAACCCGAGAAATTTTCCCGCTTCTGCTCCAAAAACACACTTGAGTGGGTTGAGGCGGAGGCTGTGCTTGCGGAGGGCTTCGAAAGTCTCGCGCAGGTCCTCCAGGTGTGACTTCCCCGCCTTCGTTTTGACGATGAGGTCGTCCACATACGCCTCGATGTTTCGCCCGATCTGTCGCGAGAAAACAGTGTCAATCATTCTCTGGTATGTCGCGCCCGCGTTCTTCAATCCGAACGGCATCCCTACGAAGCAAAAGTTCCCGAACGGTGTCATGAACGCCGTTTTTTCTTCGTCTTCCACGGACATCGGGATTTGGTGGTATCCTGAGAACATGTCTAGGAAAGACAATGTCTCATGGTCGGCAGTGGCGTCGATCAGCTGGTCGATGCGCGGCAAGGGATAAGGGTCTCCCGGGCATACTTTGTTGATCGTGGTGTAGTCGACGCACATCCGCCAAGCTCCTGACGATTTTTTGACCAGGACCACGTTTGCCAGCCACTTTGGATACTTCACGGGGCGGATCAATCCGGCCGCTAGAAGGCGCGCCACCTCTTCTTCTATCGCCTTCAGCTTATCGCCGGTGAAGACCCTCCGCCCTTGTTGTCTTGGCTCCGCGTTGGCTGGGACTGCGAGGCTGTGCTGAGCTACCTCTCTGGGCACCCCTGGCATGTCCTCTGTGCACCACGCGAAAAGCTCCTTGTACTCTTTCAGCAACGTCACGAGTGGTTCGATCGCGTCGCCGGCGACGTGAGTGGAGATGCGTATCTTCCTAGTCGGCTCGGCGGAGTCCAGCGCGACCTCGAAATCGGAGTCCATGGACTCCGGTCGGGGTTCTTCGGCTCTTGTGTCGACTATGTTGGTTTGACGCGCCACAACGCGGTCTTCCCATGTCGTTCCTCGTGCTTCCCCCACCCCTCTCTGTGTTGGGAATTTGAGCTTCTGGTGGCACGTCGACGGGAGGGCCATGAACTTCGCAAGGAAAGGTCGGCCTAAGATGCCGTTGTGCGCCGATTCACAATTGACGATTGTGAATTCCACTTTCTTGGAGACGCGCGGTTCCTGGTCGCCGATTACCACGGGGAGGGTGACCACCCCAATCACCGGGACTCTGGTGCCGGAGAACCCGACCAGGTTGCCTTGCACGCGCCTGATTAGGCGCGGGTCGATGTCCATTTTGTTAATGGTGCTCTGGAAGAGGATGTCAGCCGCACTACCCCCATCTATCAGGAGACGGTGGGTCTTGCAGCCGGCAATCAGCGCGGTCACGATGAGCGGCTCTTCTGACGGGACTCCTTGTGGAAACTCCGCGTCATCAAAGCTCAGATTGAACTTCGTCGGTGCGTCGACAGCCGCGCACTCCGTTGCGCGCTCGCGCTTGGTTTTTTTCTTGGGGCGGTCTCCTTCAACTGTTACCACCCCGATCTCTTTGCGCACTACATACGCGCCCGTGTCGTCGTCGTAATCGGCTTGTGGGGGTGGGGGCGGGTGCTGCGGGGCCTCAACCTGCTCCTTCTTCACGTGAGTGAACTCGGTTAGTAAGCCCCGTCGTATGAGGCCCTCTATTTCGTACCGTAGCTCTCGACAGTCTTCCGTCTGGTGCCCCGTTGCCCTGTGGAATTCACAATGCTTATTCGGATCGCGCATGTGTGGTTGGGACTTCAACGGGGCAGGCCAATTGAGCTTGTAGCCTTTCTCACGGAGGACGTGGAACACGTTCCTCACGGAGTCGTTAAGGGGAGTGTAGGCGTTGGACGGGCGCCTGTCTGGCGATCGCCCGCGATGCGCCTGCTCTGGTGGGGGGGGGGGGGGGGGGGTTGCGCTTCGGGCCACTGTGCATCTGTAGCAATTGATCTCGTGGGATTGGGGTTGGAGGTTGTCGGCGCGCCACTTCCTCTCGCGGCGTTTTTGCTAGCTCGAAGCGCCTGACGGATCCCGCCCCCAGGGTCTCTTCCAACGTGATTGCCTTTTCGATCTTCATTTCCAACTCTGTTGACAGCGTGACGGGCCTCTTTGCTAGCGCCCGCTTGAGCTCCATGTTGTTGGTGGCCTCCATGAGGTGATGGGCGGCGGTTTCGGGGGTAAGGTCGCGGACGGCCATTGCTACCCTGGACCATCTGGCGTAGAAGGCTCTCAAGCTTTCTCCGTCTTTTTGCCTGATATCTATCAGGGCCTTGAGGTGGAGGGGGCGCCGCTTCTGGGACGCGAACTTTGTTGTGAACAGAAGTATGAACTCTTCGAACGAGCGGATGATTCCATTCGGGAGGCGGTTGTACCAGTCGAGGCATATTCCCGAAAAGGTTGACGGGAAGGTTCTGCACAGCGCCGCATTCGAGTTCGTTTGGAGTTGCATGCGCAAGCAGAAGGTGCTCACGTGGTCTTCTGGGTCAGTCGTGCCGTTGTACGTTGGGAGGATGGGTGGCGCTCCACTTAGGTGCTCCGCCATAATTTGTGCGCTCAACGGCTGGTGGAGAACCTTCTTGGGCGGGTTAGGTCGATATTGCGGAGACAGGTGTTGCTCCAAGAAGCTGAGGTCCGCCCGCCCTGGTAATTCAACTCCCTGCGTTTCTCCCGCAGGGAATTCCGCTGGCGCGTGTCGTGGTGGTTGGGCGGTTCCGGACGCTTCTCCCACGGCTTGTTGAGGCGCGACCGCCGTTGCCTCTGCTGTTGGCGCGGCTTCCCTGCTCATCATGAGCGCAATGACCTGGCTCATTTGCTTCTGCATGTCGGCTATGACGTTGTTTTGCTTTGTCACTAGCTCCCTCATTTCTTTGGCTGTCATTTCGGGCTCCTCTTCTTCAATAAGCACCGCGTTGAGGTTGCTGGCTTCCGCGAACGCCCTCGGGTCGATCATCGCCTTGATGGGCGTTGCTTCGTCAGGTTGATCGTGGTTGCGTTCTGCCATTGGTGGGTTTTCTTCTGCGCTTCTTCTTGGCCCCACGGTGGGCGCCAATTGTTTGAACCTAACTGAGTGTAGGAGTTAGATTCGAGTAAGGGTTGGGGTCAAGAAGAAGTGCAAGTAACGGGTTTGATCAGGAAGTCACAGACTAGAGAGTTGTGGGAGAACCAGAGAAGGGATATTAGAGAGATAAGTTGTTATTGTAGAGAGAGAGTGGTGAAAAATGCGATCCCCTCACCCACCGGAGTAAATGCCATATTTATAGGCTACATGGTGGTGGGTGAGTGGTTGGATTACATGATGGGACCTAGGCTCTGATGTGACCACTGACACGTTGGGGATTTCGGCCATCCCCCTACCTAGGACATGTCAGGGGTGTACCTACGACTGTGTCACTGATCCCTATGCGGCCGACCCTCGGGAAGTGTGAAGTGAGCTCCTTATGGCTTCGAGGCTTACGACGCGCCTGAGCCTCCGCGCCTTGATACTTCACTCTCGCGCAGCTCGTGAGGGGCTCTGGATCCTCGCGCGTTGGCTCTCTCCACTCGCGCACGCATAGTGGCGCGCCCTTAGGCCTTCATGCGCGCCTTGGACCCTCGTGCGCGCCTTCTGTCGGCGCGTCCTGCCTTGCACAGCTAGGTCCGAGTCACATGCCCAACAATTAGTAATCTACATCTACATTGAGCGAATTAAAATTACCATTGCATCTCCAACTTCTATCTATCCTTGATAAATTGCAATGAACGTTATTGTAGCATTTTATTTAAGATCATATACAAAAATGAGAAAAAATATATTGCGATTTCATGTCAGAAGTTCAAAACAATTACTCTAACAATACTAAATTACTACTAGAGGTCTCACAAAGATCAATAATCCATTGATAAATGATATTATTATTAAAAATATAGGGACACATAATTGGAATTTAGATTAGGTTATAGTCTCAGAGGTCTTTTCAGGCTGGCGGCACTGAGATTACATTTACATATATTAATGGAAATCCCATTTAATTACGATTTGGAGCCAGCCAGTCATCTTCATATCAATCAGTCCAAATAAAGAAATGCCTTGTCGTGAAAAGAAAACCCCCCGAAAATTCAGAAGAAGAAGAAGAAGAATATTGAAAGCGAATACGTGAGAGAAAGAGAAAGCCAGAGTAGAGAGAGAGAGAGATGTCTCCGTCTCCCTCTTTACCTTTTTGTGCGAGCAAGTGTAACGTGGAGTATAATAACCAGTCCCTTTTCGAGAGTTTCCAGCCTACATCCAGCTGCCCATCTCCCCTTTCCTCCTCCTTCTTCTTCCTTTCATGGTTCCCCCTCACCCCCATGTGACTTCATCTTCCCATCTCCTCTCCTTTCCTTTTCACTCTCTTTCCCAATTCCCCTCTACCACCACCTTCTCCTTCCCTCTCCTGATTTCGCACAATAGTAGTAAGCCTACTTCTTCCGTAGCAGGGGAATAATTGGTCCCCTGAACCTCCCAGATGGAAATCTGAAGCCCAAGAACTTGTCTTTGTAGCGTTTGGAATGGTGGGTTGTTGATTTCGCGACCACAGAATCCGAAATCCGAGGTACCCAAAAGCTCCTCTTGTTGAATTAGAAAATAATCAAACTGCAACGAAGAACAGAAACGGCATTGCGTACATTGTTGCATATACTCGGCATTTCATAATTATGCTGCTAAGGGCGATTTCGGAGAGAAAGAGTCCGTTCCCGAGCAAAATGAAGGACTTCCCTTCTTGCTTCGGAGAGAGTGGAGTTCAGGTAGCTGATTCCTCTTCCTCTTCGGCTTCGGCTTCGGCTTCTGGTTCTTCTTCCTCTTCCAACCCTGGTAAAGCTGCTCAGAACTTGGTCACTTGCGTCTACCAGTGTAAATTGCGTGGTGCCAGCCGCCGCTCTTCTTGTTTCGTCACCGTGGCTTGGTCCAGGAATCTCATGGGTCAAGGTCTGGGCGTCACCATTGACGATTCGTTCAACCACCCTCTCTGCAGAGTCGATATAAAGCCCTGGTTGTTCTCCAAGAGGAAAGGCTGCAAGAATCTCGAGGTCGATTCGGACAAAATCGATATTTATTGGGATCTCTCCTCTGCCAAATTCGGTTCTGGTCCTGAACCCTTGGAAGGTTTCTACTTAGCTGTGGGATTCAACCAGGAAATGGTGTTGCTTCTTGGAGATTTGAAGAAGGAAGCCTGCAAGAAATTCGACGGAGAAGGAGCTCTTCTTCACTCCAATGCCATCTTCATTGCCAAGAAGGAGCACATTTTTGGGAGGAAGTTTTATGGTGCGAAAGCTCAGTTCTGCGGCGAGGGGCAATTACATGATGTTGCTATCGAGTGTGACACTGTGGATCTGCTTAAGGACCCTTGTCTTGTTATTAGGGTAGACAGTAAAGTGGTGATGCAGATCAAGAGATTGAAGTGGAAATTTCGTGGAAATGGGACGATACTAGTTGATGGTCTCCCTGTTGAGGTGTTTTGGGATGTTCATGACTGGTTGTTTGGTAGTGCAGCGGGTAATGCAGTGTTCATGTTCCAAAGTTGCATCTCTGCTGAGAAACTGTGGAATGGACAGCTGATCTTCGATCCGTCTGCTTTGACTATGTCTGACTCACAGAGATTTAGGGATTACCAATCACAAGGTCTTGGTTTCTCGCTTGTTTTGTATGCTTGGAGGAATGATTGATTGAAGAATGACACTGTAATTTGCAGCACCATTGTTGAGGATGGTATAAGAGATTACTTTCGATCTACTAAATTTTATTACAAAAGGTTCTTTGGTTTCAGGAGAATGATAAGTGATCAAAAGAACAGTAAAGTGTGATTATAGATTTGATTCAAACCTATCTGTTTTCATTTCTGTCTTGGCAAGTTACCATGGCCACCCACTCTATCTGATATTGTTCCCCTTTAGTTCATGTTGATGCTCTAAGATTTTCGTCATTCTTGTATGCAAGAAAGCGATTCCGACTTTGAGTAGGCATCAGAGCAAAGAACCCCTGTGGATGCTCCTTGTTTCATGTGTGATGAAGCTTCCTTGCCAACAAAGCAAAGTATGAATGTTTTGCTTGCTTACTTACCTTGGTTTGTATATAACAAGTGGATACACGAAGCAACGTGGTTGGAAGGAAGTCCTTTTGTCAACTCAGCAAAGTGCTTCCCTGGTTAGCTGGTGATCAAGGTAGCTGAAGCAACAGCTGGAAGTGCAAGGAGAGAAGAATGTTTGTCATTTTAGTCAGGCATATAGTAAAAGAGCTATTTACCTGTTATTACCATCACCAGTAGACCTCCCACCCACCACTGGCCATGGAAGGAGGAGTTTGTTTGGCATCTCCAATCCGGAAAATGGGTATTGTCTATAAAGCTAGCAGTATCAATGTCCTTGTCAACATTATTATGAACTCTGGACCAGCTGTTCGTTGGCTTTTTGCTACCAACAGAAATACCACAACCATGCAAACATTTAATATACTCTAGCTTACTACCAGAAGTGCTCAGCTGGAATTGCTGCTGTGAAACTCTCAGCTGACTTTAGGCTCTCTTATTTCAGTTAGCTGATAATGGTATGTCAGATGCATGGCATACAATCGTTTCTGATCATGTTACCTTCTTTTGTTCAGTAGAGAATCTCTGAACCATAAGGATCGTTTCGAACGTGCTGCTTTGTTCTGCATTTGCTAAATGGGTTGCTGGCTTCTGAATCCAGTTGTTTGTTTGTTTAGGAATAGATGAATTTGTGGTTCGCCCACTAGACTTTCCATGCTGTCTGTTCGTTGTGAAAGCAGCAAGAGTTTTACCATCAGCATATTGTACCTTTCTTGGACAAGTGTTTCCATTACCATCTGATAGGGCAAAACCCTAGCAATGACCTAACTGATGACATAATGAAAAAAAAAAGACAAAAAGCCAAAGGACAAAGCCAGGCACCTGACATCAGCTTGGACAGAGTATATGGGACACCCTCTGATAGAAAGTACAATGTACTGTGTCAGAAGATCTGAGGCGCCTAACCACAACATTTATGGCTTGGCAGGCGCCTGGACCACGACCTAACTTTTAGACTTATATAAATAGGAGTTCTCTTCTCATAAATAAGATCATGTACTATTCATTCCAACTTCTCTCTACTTTCTCTCTCTAAACTATCATTTTTCTTTGACATCAAGTACCGGATAGAAGAGTGGTCTGTGTAGACCACGATACGGTCGGAACTTGTCAATAGCATACTCCACGTCGAGCAGCTCCTTCTTGGGGGTGGTGTAGTTCTCCTGTGCATTGTTCAGGGTCTTCGACGCTAGTAGATAGGCTAGAAATGCTTGTCGCATCTCTGACCCAGAACAGCTCCGACTGAGTAATCACACGCATCGCACATCAGCTCGAAAGGGAGAGACTAATCAGGATTCACCATGATGGGTGCATGGGTAAGCTTCCCCTTCAAAGTCTCAAAACGCAGTTGTGCACTCTGATGTGAATTGAAAAGTGCATCTTTCTCAAGCAGCTTGGTCAAGGGCAAGGCGGTCTTCGAGAAATCTTTGATAAATCTCATGTAAAAGCATGCATGATCCAGAAAGCTACGAATCCCCTTCACAGAAATGTGAGGAAGCATTTGCTTATCGTCTCAATCTTCACGTGATCTATCTTAATCCCCTGCTTGGAGATTTTGTGCCCGAGCACAATCCCATCACGAGTTCGTCTCCTCGCACCTCTTCATGACAAGTTCGAGGTTATGGAGACAATGAGTGAAGGAGTCTCCGTAAACCGAGAAGTCGTCCTTGAAGACGTCAATGATCTCTCCAACCAGTCAGTCGAAGATCGCCATCATACACTGCTGGAAGGTCGTCGGTGCATTGCAGAGCCCAAATGGAATCCTCCGGTAGACAAAAGTACCGAAGGGGCAAGTGAAGGTGGTCTTCGCCTGATCCTCTAGCGCAATTGGTATCTGGAAGTATCCGAACATGCCATCCAGGAAGAAGTAGAACTCATGTCCAACCAACCTTTTCAGCATCCTATCAAAGAAATGTAGCGGAAAATGGTCCTTCCTGGTGCCGTCATTCAGCCGCGCTAGAGTTGATGCAGACTCGACAGCCAGTCACGGTCGGCATCGGGATTAGATCGTTCTTCTCATTTGGGACTACAATCATCCCGCCTTCTTCGGCACCACCTGAGTGGGGCTGACCCACTTGCTATCACATATAGGAAAGGTGATCCCGACATCCATAAGATTAACAATCTCTGCTTAGACCATTGCCTCCAAGGTAGGAGTCAATCTACGTTGCGGTTGCCTGACAGGCTTAATCTCATCATTAGAATTCTGTGGGAGCAGAAGGATGGGCTAATGCCACTGATGTCAGTGGTCTTCCACGCCATGGCCCGGGCGTACTTATTCAGCAGAGTCACCAGACTGCTCTTTTACTCGGGGGTCAGTTCGGAGCTGATAATCACCGGGAGCTTATTCCCCTCCAAGAGAAATGCGTACTCCGGGTGAGAGGGGAGGGGCTTCAGCTCTAGCTTTGCAGGCTCCTCCAAGGATGTGGTGATCCGGGGCGAGATAGAGATCGACTTGAGCGACTGCTCTCGCCTAGGGGTGTCAGTTCGGTTCGGTTTGGGTAACCGAACCCGAAACCCACAAAACCAAAAACCCGAAACTATGTGTCACAGCAAACCCGGACTCAAAACCATCAAGGAGATTTTCGGGTTTTGGTTAACCTAACTCGGGAAATTTCCTTGTCGGTTTCGGTTGGTTAAATGAAACCCGAAACCAGGAAGCTTGAGTGGTTGTCCGATCTCCGCTTCCTTCGTTAAATCGTTGTCGCCACCGTTCCCAAAGTCATCGCCGGACTACCTGAGAGTTCCTATCTTTCTTCCCCAATTTTTTATTTCATCCCTGCAACCCAAAGAAGCCCAAAGTCACTGCCGGACTACCTGAGAGTTCCTAACTTGGGACACTTCAGGGATGTGTTTGGTTGAGGTCTGATGATAATAATTACGGTCTGCTTGCCTGACTCGTCCCGAATACCACAATAAAACTCCCAATTAAGGCCCAGATATAAACCTTAACTGGGTGCAGTATAGGGCAAGTATGTTTAAATATCGACCTAGGGCGGTTCGTGTACCCCATACTTCGATTGTTTGTAACATTATCTAGCGGTTTATTTTTGGTGAAAACAACAATCTAAAGCTAAAAAAATTTCAAAAGTAAATGGATTTGACACTAATTGAGAAGGCTTCACCCGGTGTTGCTCCCCCTAGCTAACAATTCCGATTTGTTGGATCGAATGGTCGTGGGAAAGGGATATGATCCAAGCCACCAACGTCACCCTCGAATCGGAGTTCGGATGGCCACCCACAACCAAACCCTAGGTGCTAATACGAAATAGGAGGTTTGGCCTGCATTAATCTAAATAGGAGACAATGAATTGCCTAAGAAAACCCAACATTCAGTCCTCTTTCAAAAAAAGGAAGGGGTTTTCTCTCTACCTAGGTTAGAATGACAATTATATTGATAGGCTTTCACACAACACAATCATTCATGAATAATACCTCTGCATTCACATTAAACACAACCACACAAAAATCATTCAATCCATACAAGCATTCACATAATTGTAGCTAGGGTTTATAAACACCCAAGTGAAAAAAGGGACTACTCCATGCTATAAGAAGGGAAAACACAAGAGAGAAGAAGGAAAATCATCAAAGAGATGCTAGTCTTTCTCCTTGTGTTGAAGAGATCCTCCTTTGGGGGGAGGAATTCTCAAATCCTTGCTTGAAGATGAAACTCTAGCTTCTCCTCTTCTTTAGTTCGTCACTTTCTCACTCTAGAAATCTGAAGAAGAAGTTTCTCACACTAGGTCTCTCCCCTTTTCTCCTTCAGCTCAACCTCCTTTATGTACCCAGATCGGTATTAGTTCACGGTCCCAATTCATGGCCGTGAACTGCAAGTCGGGACCAGTTCACGGCCGCATAAATAAGTCCAGTTCACGGGCAATGGCCTGAGTTCACGGTCTTACAACCGTGAACTGACTCGTGTCCAGTGAAAGAAATTTGTGCTCTGGATGCCTGGCTGTTCATGGGTAGATCCTTTAGTTCACGGTCTTAGTGACCGTGAACACACAGCCCAAACCGTGATCTCCTGCTGCTTCCATCCTTTGACTTGATTTTTCGCCCTTTCGTCCAACTTTCGACTCCGGGTTGGTTCCACCTGCCAAAGTCTGAAAACACCAAAACGAGGCAAAACCCAGCGTGAAACCAAACCTTCCAAAATAAAAATTCTTCAAAGTACTAAGCAAATTGGGGGTAAAAAGTGCAAATGAGTCCGAATCACTCCCCCGCACTTAGACGTTTGCTTGTCCCCAAGCAAACCATTTTCAACTTAGGTGATATCTCAACCTAATAAGATAACTTGGGGACAAATCAAAAGGCACAAAGTGGTGAATCTCAATGACTATTGCGCATCAATACAGGAACAGCCTCAAACAATACCGACATCCACCACAAACGACATTCGATTGCATCAAGAATGGGCAAATGAAAAGTTCTCACCCTGTTCACAAATCAATGCAAGTCACGACCGGACTACTCACCAAGCACAACTAACCATGCATAGAACTCAAGTCCAAGGAACAGACAACGGGGCAACATAGGTCCTCACTGGGGTAAGATGTGAATATGCAAAACAAGAATGAA